AGTTCAAACCCAGCCCTGGCCAAACTGCAGCAACAACAAAAAATAGCTAGGTGTTGGGACAGGTGCCTATGGTCCCAGCTACTCAGAGGCTGAGGCAAGAAAATCGCTTAAGCCCAAGAGCTGGAGGTTGCTGTTGCTGTAAGCTGTGATGCCATAGCATTCTACTGAGGGCAATAAAGTGAGACTCTGTCTCTAAAAAAAAAAAAAAGATATCCAAGTATGACTAGAAAAGGTAAAGGGTTGACATGGAGAGTCACAGGTAGACCATCCTTGCCTAGTGGACGGGAAAGCTTGCTGAAGCTACTGGAGCTGAAGTTTTTTGGCATTCTTCCATCTGGTGGTCAGAGTTACAGTTGTGGTGGTACTTCTGCGTCCCTGCAGCTGCATAGGGACCTGTGGACCTTGTTTTGGCTTTAGAAGCATCACTCTGTGTGAATGGGTGAGAGGGGCAAACTCTCAACCCCATCTGGAAGTTAGAGTTGTGGCCAACCTGGCAGGAAGCTGAAAATTTTTGAGTTTAAGGAAGGAGGCTTTATTGCTGGGAAGATTATTTTTATTTTTATTTTTTATTTTTCAAGCTGCCCCCCTGGGTAGAGTGCTGTGGCATCACAGCTCACAGCAGTCTCCAACTCCTGGCCTCAAGCAAGTCTCCTGCTTCCACTTCCCAAGTAGCTGGGACCACAGGCGCCCGCCACAGTGCCTGGCTATTTTTTGGTTGCAGCCATCGTTGTTTGGTGGGCCTGGGCTGGATTGGAACCCACCAGCTCAGTTGTATATGGCTGGCACCTTAGCTGCTTGAGCCACAGGTGCCGAGCTGGGAAGATTATTTTTAAATGACCCATTAGGGACTATAGCCAGGTACAAAATAACATTTGTGTGTCTGTTGTTGTCCTTTTTTGAGACAGAGTCTCATTCTGTTGCCTCTGGCTAGATGCCTTTGTGTCATAGCTATCAGCAATCTCAACTATGTGCAGGCGCCACAATACCCAACTAAGTGTTTTATATATATATATATTATTTTTTTTTTATTTTTTTTTTGAGACAGAGTCTCACTTTGTTATCCTTAGTAGAGTGCTGTGGCATCACAGTTCACAGCAACCTCAAATTCCTGAGCTCCAGCAATCCACTTGCCTCAGCCTCCTAAGTAGCTGGGAGTACAGGTGCCCACCAAAACATACGACTAGTTTTAGAGATGGTGTCTTGGTCTTTCTCAGTCTGGTCTTGAACTCTTTTTTTTTTTTTTTT